CCTCCCCTCCTCCCTCTGGATCAGGGTCAGCACTGCGGCTATGATCTCCCCGCACCCCGTCCCTTTTCTTGAATTCATTTGTCAAAGGTCAAAATGACCGCCTCCATCAAAGATCCCTCTTAATTTTCCGTTCGCTCTCGAGGTGCTTCCACAATAAATACCGTCTGGTAGAGACAGTCTTGGGGACTGTCGAAAAACGCCCCCCGAGCCCGAGGTGGCTCGACGTAAACGCGTTCAGGCCCGATTCTCTGTCGCACTTGGGCGCTCTGGGCGGGCCGCTGTCTGCGCACGGCTGCTCGGCGGGCTGGTCTACCCACCGCGTAGCAGGCGCTATCATTCGTTATGCCTCGTGAGGACGCAGTGAACGGAAACAGACAGGAGCGTCTAGGATTTAAAACCACAAAATTGCATACTCGAGAGCTAGAGCTTATCCGACAAGAGCAAAAAAAGAGTTATTGGGATCGTGTCGAGTGTAAACGAGAGGAGTGTGATGACGCTCTTAATTTTTTTATTTTAGACGGAGTGTAACTTTTTGATTTGCCACACTGCTCCTTCAATTAGAAAGCGCCCCGCTGCGCAATTCGCGTCGCTCTCTGTTGTTGGAGAGGAGATGATGGGGTTGAGATGGTGACATTCGCCGCCGGGCCCATTGGAGGCTCATGGAGGCTGCTCTATGGTATCGGAGCCGTCCTGCTTTGTGATTGCTTTGATTGGTTGAGCGGGCCGCGCGGCCTGCAACTGCACGTGTGGCCCGAGCGCCCGACTCTGTTCAGCACAACGAGACCCGTAGTGACCCAAACACTCCTAAATCTGTTTCTTTTGCCGAAAAAAAATAAATAAATTATAAAAACAGGAAAGGCAATCGACAATCTTGGCCAAAACTAGATACTTCGGGTACCGAAGAGACAGCCTCAAGGGAATGTCTTAAAAAATATGTGTCAATAATTGTCGATGCTTTTTGTCTGGTCGCAGAAAAAAAAAACCGTCATCGGCTTCCCTGTGTTTTAAGATTGTACCAGGTAAGCAAGGGTGGATGTATACCAAGAGGTGGCCAAGGCCTGTGCCCAGCCCAGCGCTGGTCCGGAGCCGGATGGAGGAGCAGGGGGTGGGCGTGGGGCACTACATGTCCGGGGCGAGAGCCTGATCGATACAGTGAGGGGAGGAGGCGCGGCGGGGAAGGCCCGGGCTACACGGAGACCCACCCCCCGCGGTAACAGTGGGGAAGAGGAGAGAGGAGAACAGAGGGGATCGAGACCTGGGACCAGCTCTCGCTCACTTCAGCTTCATAGCTCTCCGTTCGTGCCGATTCCCTCCCTCTCTCTCTCTCTTTTGATCACAGTTGCTCCCGCCGGTGCAGCCGGGGATGCAGCCTCCGTGCTCCACGTCCGGAATGGGGTGAGAGGGGTGGTGGGGGAAGTCCCGCTGACCTCACACATCCAGGTCGCGCGGAAGGGCAGTCTTCTCTGCCAGCTTCCCCCAGTAGTGCACTTTGCTATACACACGACAACCTCCCTCCCCCTCCCCTATAGCTGGTCGTGGGGAAGGGGTGTGGGGTAGTATCAGCAAAAGGGGCAGAGGGAAGGTGGGAAACACGTAGCATCCCTCACTCGGGGGGACGAGACGTTCAGACTGCCCGAAGTGCGCCAACATGATGCGGATCTCGTTTGATGATTAGTGCTATTTCGCTCGATACTTCCAAGTTCTCGCAGTGAAATGTTTCAGAAACCACATCCACCGCAAAAAGTGGCAATACCCCGGTGGACACAGTAGCTATTTGGAGTCATCCACAAATTACACCCGCCGTTTTACGACTGCCCCCCCCCCCCGTCCCCCCGTCCATCAGCCTTCATCAGCAGCCCCATCCCCGTACTTTATGGATGACCCCTTTGTGAGTAGATGGTTTTGCCATTCGGCGTGCCCGACTTTAGGCCCCGTTTGCGCCCGGCCTCGCGCCTGTTGCGCACATGTGGTTTGTCACTTTATGGAGAAGTGAACGCGACAACCTCGGCGACAACTCCACACTCGCCCGGCGCGGTCCAGCCATGACAGGACAGTCACTCTCGGTTGTACATCGATCAGTTACGTTAAAATGCACATCGTTCTGTGATTTGTATGCCACGACGGGCGTGAGGGGCGAGCGGTGGGGGAAATGGAGGGGGGCGTGCTTTCTTGCTTTCACAATTAAGCCACGTGCGAGTAGACAAACCTGCACGCATGCGCTTCACTAAAATTGTATCTAAGTCTCTAATGGATCAGGATGAATCATTGATACAAACAAATGGAACACGAACAAGGCCACAAGGCAATGTTGCCAACTAAAGAACTTCAACTAAAAGGGCAGTATTGCAAACAGCAAAAGGAAAGTGGGATGTGTGGATCAAGAAGGATGTGTGCAACATCAGCGGCGGTGGGCCGCGGAGTGGGTTGGGGGGG